TATGCACAACTCATGTCATATACAAATACTTTCCAGTGTCCTACAGAGAAGTACGTGCTACTGCAGAAAAATCTACAGATCATTCAGAATGCTTTCTCTATGAGGCTGTGATTAATTTCTAATACAACCATGGCTATCAATTGCAATTGACCAGTTATTAAAAAGATTCTTTGCTAGTTTACTCCAAACTATCTGTGAGACTTAGGTGTTGCTACTGAAAAGCAAAGCGCTGCTACCGGTGTCTAGGATGAGGAAAACAACTGGAAAGTGACTCATCCTCACCACTTCCACTGTTAATAGGTCTCATTACCCAAGTACCACCTCCATGCTAAAAGGAAGATGGTTTGTGGAAAGAGAATTCTGTGAAGTTTCTGATCTTCCACTAGATGCCAAAAGTTTTCACCCAGTAGAAAACGCAGTCCCTGAACACTGTATTCTGTGAGGGGTGTTGACAGGACCAGCCATACTGTAGTTGGGATAATTTTTGTTAGTTATCCTTTGCTTGACTACAGTAAGACCACAGGTTGTCAACTCACTGCCTGAGCTACTCTTGTCTCAGGAACTGCCTTGGTCTCAGCAAAATGTGTTTTCCAAAGAATTGTGGAAGTCACGAATTTATTTATTTTCTTTCTGTACATTTTTTTCCTGGTTTACTGTACTTTAGTGCAAGACAACACAACCATGTGTGTCCCCTCAGATTCAAAGCAATGCTCATTTGTTTCTTAAGTAGATTGTCATCTTCCTCTTCCCTCCGCAATCAGCAAAAGCAAACAGAGGAAAAGTGGGGGAAAATTATGGAGAGAGAATATTTAGCTATGCCGATTATACCTGTTTCAAAGACAATGGTCAAGAGGGAAAAAGAAGAGTATTTTTTGTAGTAGACCCCCTCTCCATCACAGCTGTGACAATGATGAGTAGAGCTTTGCTTTAAAGGCTTTTCAGTTACAATACGTGTGCCCCAACAGCCGTACTGAAGTCACCTAGTTTAGCAGTAGTACAGAGAAGCCAAGTTTGTTTCACCGCTAGAATCTATTATAGTGAGACTCCAGACTGAGTCTGGTGCCCACATCTCCTTAGGTTATGCTAATCTGTGCAAATGCATTTAGTTCTGGCGACTGAAAAGCTGTTTCTGCGTTATGATGTACTGCTTAGTGAGTAGAACTAGTAAGTTTAGAAGGACATTTCAATGGAATTAAATGAAGGTTTATTTTGTACTTTCTCTGCATTCGTGATGGTATGCTAATGTAGATAGCTAAAAGCTTGAGAGGTCACAGTGAGTTGGGGGGGACTGCAATATATAAGATTCTTGCGATCCCTGCCCAAAATCCAGTCAGCTTTTCTCTACATACAGAAATGTAATATAATGCAGTAAGTTGGGGCTCTCTACAACCTCTCAGAACACAGTGGTCCTGGGCAATGCTTTATGAGGTTGTAGGCTGTAGATGGCTATTAGGCTCTGTACTGTCTCCCTCTTCCCACTGGTGCATCAAGAGACAAACTGGTTTCCAGTGACTAGAGAATTTCCAACCCTTCCTAGTGACCCCATGCGGAAAAGCTGCTCAGAGGAACAAGAACTTTGCCATGTAAATGGTTTATCTGATTTTCTGACAGTCCTTTATGTTTAGGAATTTTCTCAGGAGTGGAGAGGATTTTTAAAACTGGTGGGCAGGTGAAATTTTTCTATCAATGGGATCAGTATAGCTTGGGACAAACAGGGTGCTGCATCTGTGAATCACAACACAGCTTCTGAGGTCCACAGGAATCTCAGTGGAAAAGAATTTGGACGTGACATCTACCCGCTAACACTAAATATAACCTTCTGGTAAACATTAAAACTTCAAGGGCTTTGTGGCTGATGATCATGTTGAACTCCGGGACATCCAGTGAGAGAGTAGGGTGGAAAACACAAACATGAAAAGAAGCACAGGGGGAGGGGAAGGGTTTGAAAGCCAGTGGAGAGAACAGCAAAGATTTTGGCAACTAGTGTTATCTGCCTGGGTTTGTCAATTTAATAAAGATGTAGCATTCATAAGGCTGAATGTACCAAGTGAACCAAGTGTACCAAGCACAAGAACCTATGGATTGCTCTATGTTATGTTCTAATAGAGACCTTCATTCTAAAACACTGTACTCAGAGTAAGGGCCTAAGGACAAAAGGCAAACGCTGCTCCCTTGGCTGTTCCATCTTGTTTCTTCTCCTTTAAATAGGATAATTAGCATCCTTTGCACTATGGTTTTTGTGTTGGACATTCAAGCACTGAAATCTGGCTATAACTATCAGAAGGATTTCACCTGGGGCACCAAACAGCTGGAAAATAGTACCAGCTTTCAATCCCTACTGATGTGTGCTGTATTTGACCCAACAGTATTTGGAAGGCTCTGTATCTTTTTGCCACACCATAAGCTCAATGATGCAGTCTATCCTTCCTCCAAGCAAGAAGAGCAAAGCCTTTAGTTTCTGAGCACAGTAGCAGACAAGCACAAGCAAGTTTTTAAAGCAGGTCATAAACTGTACTATTCAAATATCTCTAGAACTATCATCAGTAACTTCCAGTCTGCAGTACTGTTCTTAGCCTTCAGTTCACTCCTAAATACCAGCTCATCTGGTCATACAGCAATGGAAGACGTTCCACTCCATAGCAGAAGTTTTTTCTTGTTTCTTAGTAAACAGGTTTGGGAGTTACCAGGGTAGCTGTTTAAAGCATCTTGCGTGTGAACTTGGAGTACTTTCACCGCTGAGTGGTGAGGTGGATAGCCATCACCCTATCCATTTGACAGATGGGCAGGCGGATGTGAACACATTACTTAACTAGATCAGGACCACTGGAAAGCAGAGCAGACCCCAACCCCTTGTTCTAAATCAGTAAAACCCGTTGTGTGTTTTGTAAAAACAAGCATTTGTCAGTCCTGGAAGTCATAGCTGGTTCTGCTAGCTTAACTCCTAGTATCATACAAACTCTTTTCAAGGCTGTCACAACTTCTTTCAAAGGAAGAAAAAAGTCAAACACCTTAGAAAACATTGTGCAAGAGGAGTTGAGGCATTTAAGCTGTTTAACAATCCAAACAGAGACAGACCAGTTGCCAGTGAGGAGGGAAACTTGGCAGCTTTGTTGAAAGCTTCCCACACAGACACTGGAGATGCAAGAAAACAAAGAAGCTGTAGTCCCCGAGGGTCCTGCCACTCCCAGGGCAAAACCAGTCCCTTTCCAGCTTTTCCTCTAGCTCTCACAGACACGCACACGCTCTCTTCTCGCAGTGCCATTAGCTACAGCAATAACCGATTAAGCCCTACAGACCTAGAAAAAATACAGGAAATGAAGAGTTAAATAAAAAAAAAAAAAAGGAAAAGAAAAAAACCAGAGAACTTGGAGGCAAGCCAGTGTCCCCGAATGACTCGGCTCAGCCGGCAGCCCGGAGCGACACTCCCCAGCAGCCCTGCCTGCCCTCCCTCTCCTCTCCCCGCACGGCTGGCATGCCCGGCCCTCCTCTCTTTATCAGGGCCAGGAGTTCCCCTTCCTGGTCTCTAGTTGGTTTGGGAGCCCAGAAACGCTGCTAAACTTATCTTTCACTTTTAGGACAACGGCAAATGCCTGAAATAAGAAAGTAAAAGAACTGAAAATTAATGGAGACGATTCCCTGCAAGCCAAGTGGAAGCACCTTTTCTGCATAACGCCCAAGGAGGCAAAAAGCAAAGCCGGGCAGGCTGCCTGGGGTGCCAGGAACATGCTGTTCCTTTGGCTATGCAGCACAGGGCATTGTCCATCCGTATGCTCAGACTTGATGGGGCTTTCTTCTCTCCTACAGAGAGCAAAACATACCAGCAATTTAGAAGGGCTCTTGCTTTACCTCAGGAAGGCAGCAGTAAAAGCTGAAGACACACTGAAGAGGTATGGCCAGTTCTGAAGATCTTTTTCTTAACGCTCTTTATAAGTGAGCTGACCATAGATCTTAGTAAACTAATTTGTTGTCTGAAATTACTGAGTGGAACACCTTACACAAGCCTGCTGTAGTCGGTGTGGTGCCTCGCCATATACCCTACAATGAGTGCCTTCAGCAGAGATCAGTCTTCTCAATTTTTGGTGCTCCCTGGCTGACTGCAGCCATCCTCTTCCCAGCACCAGGCACAGGCATGAGGTCTGGCAAGTCACGGGGCCTGTTCCAAGATGGCCCTCCTAATACTTTCAGTGCATAACTCTCACAGCACTTGCAAGACTTCCGCTTTTTCTCTGTGTGTCTCATAATAATTTATAATACTAATAAACAAACCAATATATAATAGTAACAAACAAGTGGTCAGATAAGTCTTCACCAAGAAGTAAACACTGAACACTGATCAGAACAAGTTAGTGTTTGCATTCAAATGTTTTTTTGGTTTGAAATCAGTTTTACCCAGCTGCCAAAAGCTTTTTTGAGACTGCCCATGTGCCCCTCTCTCTACACTTAGGTCTCCTTGTGACTCACGTTCAGCCTCTCATCTGCCTTCCTGCCTACTCTAGCTTTCACAGATGTGTCTGCTAAAGAAAGAAGCAGACACACAGTCATTCAGGTGCCTCTAGAACATTTAATTTTAACATATCAAGAGCACTGATGCTTGCATGGGAAGCAATAAGCTGGAATAAAAGTAGCAATAGGAGCATGGGGTAGGAAAAAGTAGATGGGGGAAGGTAAGAAGCATTGGAAAGGGAAGTAAAAGACGCACTGAACACGAAGGCTAGCAGCTAAAAATTACAGCTTGCTACAACCCACACAGATGACCCACACACCATTCGCTGTGACATTAAGTAATAAAAAAGGGCAACATCAGCTTTGAATCTATGCCCAGTAAACGTTTCTTCCCAGAGGGGTTTTTTTGTTGTTGTTGTTTGGTTTTCCCGAGCTTGAGTTTTGAGAGGTGAAACCATAATGGTGGCCAAACACAAGTTTGTTTGGTTGGTTTTGTTTTTTCAACATTCAAATTACTAAGCTATAACAAATAAATCTCTGGCTGGATTGTAACTAACCTGTGTGGGTCCTTAGATGAGCTTTAAGATGGGAAGATTTGCCATAAACTTTTTCACACCCCACATAGTGGCACTTGTGCTTTTTCTGGGGTGATCCGGGGTCAGTCCAGCTTCTCGTGCGTTTGTTCTTTTGTCTGGGGCTTGGCTCAGTTACTGCAGCCAGGCTAGTAGGTGTGGCTGCTCTTCCTCCTCCACGCTTACCAGCTGAAGACACATTTTCTTCCCCAAACTCCTCAGGAGCAACAGAAATGTGTATTTGTTCTGTGATATCAAAGGTCTCTGTTTTTTCCATCCTCAGAGCGGGTGAATTTGGGACATGCTGATTCAGATCTGCTAAAATGCTAGCTACCACAAGTAATGATGATCCATTGTCTTTCCCGGTTTCTCTGACTTCCCGCTTATCTTCTCCGTTTGATGAAGGAGGTATTGCTGCATCAGGCTGGGGATCAGGCTGCCCTTTGGGACTATGGATAATAGCACGACTGGACATGGAAACAAGGCACTCTGCTGCAAAGTGATCCACGTATGCTGCTGTTGCCATTTTTCCTAAGTTGAAGAAGAAATCCAAACAGAAGAGGAAAAAAACCCCAAACCCCAAACCCCACACTGCTCTCTCCCTTTTGAAAAAGATTATGCGAGCAGAATTTCCCTTATTTCTTAGGATCTCTTTGTAGACGTAAAGGCTGATCGAGCAGCCATCAAAACCACACTTTGTTCGTGACGATCACACCCAGCTTGTCCCTAAAGCAAAAGAGCGCTGGAAGCCCAATGGCAGCGAAGAGGAGCAGACAGACCCCGGCACTGGCAGCTCGTCGCCCGGAGCATGAATTAATGCCGGTTGCTCGAGACCGCGGTCACGCAGCGCTGCCGTGTCCCCAGCCCTTCCATCGCGCTGTGACGGCAGAACAAGCG